AGCACTTTGAATTCTGGCTAGCTAAACCCTCACAGCCTTGAGAGCCTGAGGTTCTGGCCCTATTTTCCTGAAACCAAGTGAGATCCCCAGAGGGAAGTGAGCCACCCAGTCAGGTCCTATTAGAAAAAGGCAGGGCTGGAAACCTGGGTCTCTGGCTTATAAGCCCTGGAGCGATGAGGGGGACCATGGTGAGCCCAGAGCCAGCTCCTTGCCAGACTATAGGTATCTCCAGGACAGAGAACACCTACAATCCAAGCACCCAATCCAGGTGGATACAGAACAAAGGCAGTCTGAGGAAGGCTCAAGGAACCACACTGAAGTTAAAAGGGCTTCTTGCCAAGAGGATGGGCAGTCCCATTAATGATTCATTCATTATTTCAATATTTACTAAGTACCTATTACCTGCAGGTACTGTGGGAGATGCTGAGAACACAACACTGACAAAGACAGACAAGGACCCTGTTCCCAAGGGGCTGATATTCTTATGGGGGGAGACAATTACTTAAACAGATTAGCACACATGACAGTTTAGGTAGTGGTAAGGGCTAAAACAAGGTGTGGTGACTAGGGACAGCTCTCTACGTGGGGCAGCCAGGAAGGGCCTCTCAGAGGAGACCACATGTTCAGACACGGCCAGTCACGCAAAGATCTGAGCAGAGGGTAGCACGCGCAAAGGCCCTGAGACAGGACCGGCCCGGTAATGCTGGGGAACAGGAAAACCACTGCAAGTCTGCAGCATGCGGAGTGACACGGCAGGAGAGGAGGGTGTGAGGCAATGGGCTGCTCATGGTGTCTTCCTAGATAATAAGGAGGAATGTGGAAGTTCCAAAGCATGATTGGGAGCCAGAGCAATTGGCAGTTCACCTGGCAGCCGAAGCTCTGGGGACTCTTGGCGCCTCTATCTACCAGGGCAAGCTGGAGGAGCTTCCTCAGAAAGCTTGAGAAGGGCTGAGCTGCCACTCCCAGCATGGAGACCAGGGACAACCTTCACTCACTCAGCAGACCTCCAATGTGCAGAGCCCTGCACTCAGCCCTTCATGATCTCACCTACCTTCTCTTAGTTTAAGAAGGCAAACCACAGACTGGGAGATGGATCTGGGTTCTAGCCTAGCTTTGATAACCCTGGGAAAGTCCCTTCTCTCTGGGGACCTCAGTGTTCCCATCTGTAACATGAGGGTTGGGCCAGATTTCTTTTTTCTTTTTTGAGTCAGAGTCTCACTCTGTCACCCAGACTGGAATGCAGTGACACAGTCACAGCTCACTGCAACCTCAACCTGGGCTCAGCCATCCTCCTGCTTCAGCCTCCCGAGCAGCTGGGACTACAAGCATGCACCATCACGCCGGGCAAATTTGTTTTTACCTTTTTTAAGAGACGAGGTCTTGCTATGTTGCCCAGGCTGGTCTCAAACTCCTGGGTTCAATCAATCTTCCTGCCTTAACCTCCCAAAGTGCTGGGATTACAGGCCCAGCCTGATATCTACGTTTTTATGGCTCAAGCCCTTGCTGCTGAACTTGGGGATGGGAGGGTGGGGATAGGGCAGAATTTCTACCACAGCCACTGAGTCACCCAGCCTGCTAATAAAATATTACACGTGGCCCTTTATCAGCCCAGATGAACCCTTGGTGAGGCACATAACCCAAAGTGGCCACTGCACAGTTAGGGAAGTGATGTAGGGAAGGGGGCATTGCATAGAATCGGAGAGAGGACCAGGAATGACGTTCCCGGTCTATGCTTTAGGTCTGGGTTAGGGGACTGTCTCAGTCCCAAGTCATCCCCAACTATCTAGCCACTTAGTTTTAAGCATACCCACAGCGATGGGGAACTCCACCTTCACCTACTCCAGCCTGCTGCAGCTCTCAACAGCTGGGGCAAGGATTCCACTAACCTGTCCCCCCAGCCCACCTCTGCTCCTAGCTTTGCTCTTTGGAGTCATGCACAATAATCAGCTCAGAATTCAACTGAGATCACCACCATCTCGAGCTGGGTCCTGTGCTGAGCCCTGGGGATACAGGCAGGTGACAGAGGGCTCTAACATGAAGAGCCCTCTGTCCAAGGAAGAAGGCAGGGATGCAGACACAAGTAACTCTGCCCCCTCCTCATCTGGCACAGGACAGGCCTTCAGAGATTGGAAAATACCAACCCAGACTCCACCTCCTCCCCTCAGCACCCACCCACCCACTCATGCTCCCACAGCTGGCCTTTCCTTTTAGCCAAGAAACCAGATGCCAAAATATCTGTTTTAATCTCTCACCCATCAGAGGACTTCCCTTCACAGAATCCATGTTTCTCCTTGAATTCTGCCACTGACAGGGTGTTCACTACCTCACAACAATGGAAACTTATCCACAGAAGCAAACTAGGCCACTGGGGAGTGTCTTCAAGAACCAAAGATTTAGAAAGCAGGTATAATGGAGATGCCCAGATAACACAAAATGCTTTAGCACCCTCCTACCCCACCCAGTCTTTAACCGAAGTAGATCCCAGAGAGCTAAACGGACAGGTTTGCATTTCATACCAGCCCTTCCTGCATTCCATGATGCAATTCCTTGCACCCAGTAAAAAAAAAAAAAAAAAAAAAAATCATGCTTTTTGTTTTTGTTTTGTTTTTTTGAGTTGGAGCCTCACTGTCGCCCAGACGGAGTGCAGTGGCCGCTCCTGGCCACCGCAGCCTCGACCTGCTGGGCTCCAGCGATCCTTCCGCCTCAGCCTTCCGAGTAGCTGGAACTACAGGCGCACGCTACCACGCCCGGCTAATTTTTTTTTATTTACCATAGAGATGAGGTCTCGCCTGCCCAGGCGGGTCTCGAACCCGCAGGCTCAGGCAATCCACTCACCTCAGCCTCCCAACCAAAGGCGCGGGATTACAGGCTGAGCCACCGAGCCCGGCTTGTTTATGTTTTTAAGTTGGAGTCTCACTCTGTCACTCAGACTGGAGGGCAGTAGCTTGCTCCCGGCCACCGCAGCCTCGACCTGCTGGACTCCGGCAATCCTTCTGCTTCAGCCTTCCAAGTAGCTGGAACTACAGATACACACCACTATGCCCGGCTAATTTTTTTTTAATTTATTGTAGAGATGAGGTCTCGCCAAGTTGCCCAGGCTGGTCTTGAACCCATGGGCTCAGGCAATCCTCTCACATTGGCCTCCCAAAGTGCTGGGATTCTAGGCATGAGCCACCATGCCTGGCCAAAAATCGTGTTTTCAAGATCTGATAACATGGGGAAATGACACCGATATGATATTATGTGATTTGGTTAAAAGCATTTGCTAGAGTACAAGTTAGTAACAAACTCTAAGTCAAAAATATGAGAGCCAGGGTCCTGACTCCTGGAAGGCACAGCTGAGCCAAGGGAAGAGGCTCTCCAGGAAGGATCATCAGAGAGAGCACCCCATTCCATCATCTGGAGCAAGAACACTTTTAAAAGCATGAATATGGGCAAGTCTCTCCCTTCCTTCCCTGTCAAGGGTACAAGAAACTGAAAAGGACTTAAGTGAGAGATGGAGCCGTGAAAGGCCACTGGGATGAGTGCATGGGGCAGCTCAGACTGCTTGTCCTCAAAATGGCAGCAGCAGCTCGGTACCTCTCCAAGGGCAGCAATCAGCACCCAGACCAAGAAGGGCAGATAGCCATGTGACAGCCACACACAGAGCAATGCCAATGCCCAGACACGGCTAAACTTTGATACAGCTGCTGGGTTGCTTACTTTGCAGTCACTAGGACATTAGAAGTTTGATTAACAGAAGGAAATTCTTATGATGTAACGTTAAGAGGGAGAAAACAGGATTCAAACTATACCTACAATGCACCCTCATATCTATATAATATGTATAAAGAAAATGATCAAGAAATATACTAAGATGCTAATAGGAAAATATCTTTGACTAGCCATTTACTAGCAATTTTCATATTCTTTCTTTTTTGTCTATATTTTCCAAAATTCCCATAATTAGCATGTTTTATTTTTATGAAGAAGGTAGGCAGAGTAGGGAATTTACTAAAAAAAAAAAAAAAATCCCAAGTCAGAGAGGCAGAATACAGACTTAGGAGGAGGAAGAGAGGCTTCATGCAAGACCAAGACAGCTGTGGTGACCTCGCAGTGTTTCCCAGATTTGCCTTCAACGCCCTTAGCATCTGCTAAGAAAACCCTGAGCATGTTTCCTCCTACCTCGGTTTCTCCAACTATAGATAAGGGACGTGGAAGGGATGCTCTACTTTGCATGGGAAAACTTGTAGCGTTTGACCTCAACTCTGCCCCTGATTCACTGAGGGCCTGGAGGACATCCAGGGCTCTCTGTCCTGCCTTCTAAGAGTGCTAGGCTCAAATCTGCTGCTTAGTGGACTCTAGAGCCTGGGCTGAAGGATAGGTGTGGAGCACAGGACAGGGCAGGAACACCTGTCCCAGCCAGGCATGTACCCTGTCCAGTGGCTGGAGACAGCAAAATCCTTGCCACCTTGCCCCATCCAGTCTCCCACTGCCAAAGCTTGTTCCACCTGGTGAGGGGAGAGGGTAGGGAACTGCCAGGGGTCGCGAACAGTACTAGAAGTTGGGGAGAAGGTCTCGAATATTTTCAGTTATTCCTAATAACTGAAAAGGGTGGGTGGTATCACTCCCACGTCACAGATGATGGAAAACAAGCTGGGGGACGGGAAGTGATGTAACAGAGGCCGCAAAAATCGAGGAGTGCCAGAATGAAGAATGAGCCAGACTTGACTACGATGCCAGGCTGCCTGGATAAGACTAGGTAACGATCATTTTTTTCTTTATTCCAGATCTAGATGGTGGGAGGAGAGCGGGGGACCGAGCTTCCAAAATAAAAGGTACCGGGACCTCAACCTGTAGCGGTCAGCCAGCCCTCCAGCCACGTGCGCACATCTTATGAACACCCCCCAGTCTGCCACAGAGCCCCTTCTTGAAACTCTTGCAGTTTCACAGCCCCAGGATGAAGCCCCCAAGGCCCTGCCGACCACTCAGCTGCGACAGCTCACCCTTCAGACACTCACCCCATCGCCCAGACCCCTCACGCGATAGCGCAGATCCTCCGTTAGCGCTCTGGCTCCGGGCAGCCCCGGACCGACGCTCGCCACGCAGGACCCCAGAGTAGGCGGCGATGAGGGTCTTCATGCTGAAGTCTGCACCGGTCACCGCCCCGCGGGAAGCCGCCTTCTCTCGCGCCCCT